AATAAACTGAGAGTAGAAACGGGATGGAGGGCAGGGAAGTTTGAAGAAAAATTAGAGAAAGGAGAGGGAGGGGATATTGGGAGGATGTGTATGATTGAGAAGAGAAAGAGTGAGAGAGAGAATGATAGAAGTGAATAGACAAAAGAGAGTGTGGAGAGGGGGAATTATCTATGGAGAGGAGGTATGAGTGAGGTAGCTATGAAGGAAGGTGGAGAGAACAAGTGGGAACGCCTGAGGGAAAGAGATATAGAAGTTGACGTACAAGAAAGAGGAGAGAAAGTGAGAGCGTCTAGGCTTTGCGCGAGTTATAGGAGAGTGTGTGGGATACCATTGTACATAAGAACGTGTAAGAGGAATGAGGGAAAAAGACTGGTGAAAATAGCGAGGTGGAGATGCGGGAATGAAGAGAGGGGGTATAAGTATTGGTTGAATGAGGAGGAGAGGAAGTGTAGATTGTGTGCAAGAGGGAGGGAGAATGTGGATCATTTAAAGTATGAGTGCGAATATGTGAGGGAGAAAGGAGAAAGAAATATAAATGTAGATGTTTTAAATGAGGATGGGAGAGGAATCAGATGGATGGAGATGATAGAGCGAGTCAGAGGAGAGAGAGAGAGAGAGAGAGGAGAGAAAAAGCGAGAAAGTGAGTGAGTTAATAGTTTTAAGCCTGCGTAAAATGTATCTGGGTGTTAGATGTAAGATAAAATGTATAAATTTATATAAGTATAAATATTGTAATAATAATACGGTAAAGGAAGTCATTGTAAGCACTTAAGTGAAATGCAATAAAAACTACTACTACTACTATTAAAAAGTAAATATAAGTTTACAAAAACGAAATAATATAATGAAATTATAAGTCACATTTCTATGATATATTTTATACACTGAAAAAAATTTCTGGTTGAAAATGAACGAATCAGAAATTTCTGGTTAAATTTATTAGAATTCTAGTTGAGATAATTCTGGTTGATACTATATTTCTAGTAAAATCTACTAGAATTCTTATTTTTACCAGAATAATTATATTAATCAGAATTCTAGTTATCACAACTAGAATTCTAATAGACATAACCAGAAAATTCTGATTCGTCCATTTTCCACCAGAAATACTGTTTAATCCAACCAGACCATTTTTCTCAGTGTATATAATAAAGAAAGGGTCAAATAATTCAAATAAAATAAAATATAATCAGAAGAACTACGAGCCAAAACAAAACAAATTTTAGTGTATATATGATATAGTTGACATTAAGTGAAATAAAAGTAAAAACAAAATAAAAATATATCTA